CACCATACCCCCACCCCCCCCCCCCCCACACCCCCACCCCCCCCCCACCCCCCACCCCCCCCCCCCCCCCCCCCCACCCCCCCCCAGCCCCCCCCCCCCCCCCCCCCCCCCCCTGTGTCCGCCCTGCCGCCTTCCTCTAACGCTGCTAATGCAGGTTCAACGTACGGAGTAATATCAATGGTCAATGACTGTTTAAGCTTGGACCAATTCTGCAATGAAATTGGCCAAGAAATTGGAAGGGCCCCTAGGCTTTTATGGGTCATTTTAATCAATTAAACGATAACAACTAAAAAATAATAAACATAAAATGTCCTCCAAGACCCCTTTCCCTCTTCCATACCATTTCTCTCGACTCGACAACCACAACACATACACCCATTGTCGGTTCACCATTCTATTAATCTATTCACGAGTTCTTCTCACCATATCCTATATTATTTTTCTGTAACGAGATTCCATTATTGTTAGCCCAAAATCATTCAACATGGCGCCCTCAAAGATCGAACTCGAGAAACAAGACAGAACACGCGATGCTGCCTTCAATAAGGCTATGCATGGAAACACTGCCCAGTCAACAGGAGGTTTCCGAGCTATGATAGGCAAGGGCGGAAAAGGCACCGACGCGCAAAGAGCTGCCGTTGACGAATACTTCAAGCACTGGGATAACAAGGACGCCAAGGATGAGACAGAGGAAGATCGCGCAAAGAGAACGGCCGAATATGCCACTCTGACCAGACAGTATGTTATAAATACACGTGACTCTATACAACCTTATCTCCTCAACTAAGACTCTTCATAGTTATTACAACTTGGCGACGGACTTGTATGAGTATGGTTGGGGTCAGTCATTCCACTTCTGCCGGTATTCCATCGGTGAGACCTTCTACCAGGCGATTTCCCGACACGAGCACTACCTCGCGCACCAGGTTGGTATCAAGGAAGGTATGAAAGTGCTAGATGTTGGTTGTGGTGTCGGAGGCCCTGCTCGGGAGATCGCAAAATTCACCGGCTGCCACGTCACCGGCCTAAACAACAATGACTACCAGATTCAGCGTGCCGGTCATTACGCCGCGAAGGAGGGTCTTTCAGATCAATTAAAATTTGTCAAGGGTGATTTCATGGTAAGTCCTAACAGCGCCTGCTCGCAGTTAAGGTCGATCTTGTTGGTGGTATACTAATTCAAGCCCCGATAGCAAATGGACTTTCCCGACAACACCTTCGACGCCGTGTACGCCATCGAGGCCACCGTTCACGCCCCTAAGCTTGAAGGTGTCTACAGCGAGATCTTCCGCGTGTTGAAGCCCGGTGGCGTTTTCGGCGTGTACGAGTGGCTCATGACTGACGAATATGACAACGACAACCTCGAGCACCGTGAAATCCGCCTTGGTATCGAGCAGGGTGATGGTATCTCTAATATGGTCAAGATCGAGGAGGCCCTCGAGGCCATGAAGGCTTCAGGCTTCGAGATGCTGCACCATGAGGATCTTGCAGACCGGCCCGATCCTATCCCGTGGTACTGGCCCCTTGCCGGAAAGTGGAAGTACATGCAGTCGGTATTCGACGCACCTACTATCGTAAGGATGACATGGTGGGGCCGTCTCATAGCACACAACTTCGCTGCTGCTTTGGAAATGACCGGGTTAGCGCCTGCGGGTACCAAAAAGACAGCTGACAGTCTGGCTCGCGCGGGCGACTGCTTAGCTGCCGGTGGTGCGAAGCACCTCTTCACGCCGATGTATCTGATGGTTGGGAAGAAGCCAGAGCAATGATGCGGCAAATCAGGAGAGACGAGTAAAAAGTGCTTATAAGCACCAATAATGAATAAAGAAAGAAGCGACGCCAATGCCTTCTTAATACTAATAATACTAACCAATCGGGAGAGTGTCGAGGCGAAGCCTAGGATAGGCAATAGCCCCAGCTCCGACTTCTCTGTATATACATATGACAGACCCTGAAGCACACTTGCCATACTGGTAGCCTTTTATATATATACTTGGTAGCATCATAAGAATAGAGTAATTAGAAAATTGTTCCTACATGATAGCTCCTTCGATATGGTGTGATGAATGAGGTACTTGGTAAATGTGTTTATCATGGTCAACTTGTATCGATATAATCACATCCAATATGTACTTTAATGGCAAGGGGTAGGAAAGCTCTTGAGGAGACATGCGGATTACCCCCAACGGAAGATCCCCTAATCAATGTCCGAGATAAGCTACTTTTTTTGGTGAATGATAATGATAAGCTAGGTAGTTAAGTCTTAATTAAGAGCAATTCTTACATAGGCAAAATCTTGCAGGAAATAAAAAATAACTTCCAAAAGACATTGACTTATCATCAATTACTAGCTAAAAATATTGTTAATTTGAGGTTGGGTTTATTCTTGCTTAAAATACGTTGTCAACCCCGAATTGGTAAAGATAGATATGATTATAGATGTAAGGTTGTATGACTGGAGATTCCAAAGCCCCGATAAATCGGAAAAGCAAGTGACTAATCCCGATTTGGTTTAGCGCATCCTATTACCTCAACAAGCTGTTCCTATTCCATCCGAAGCGGAAGAAAAAAGTTGGGAGACAAATCGATGTGAATTGATAGCAAAAACTCCAACAAAAAAAAATAATAATAAGCCTTACGGAGAAAATCGCTCTTCAAACTCTCCCGTCATCATCATCGACATCAACCCCGTCACCCTAACCAACGCCAACGACAACTAAGTCAAGGTCAATTTCTTGTCGGTTGGGAGTTTGGTTCTCAATTGAATAATTCCAATTATCTTCTTTTCTCTCTCCCCGTTCCAACCACCATCTCCTCACAACTCCAATTTCGATCGTCATGTCGCGATACCTTCGTCCGGCAGCTCGACTAGCTACCTCCGCCCGCGCCGCCGGGGCACCCCGAGCACTTACTCGGTTCGCCCCTACTTCCTTCGCCGTCTCTCAACAGAGAACCTTCGCCGATGTCAAAGGAACCAAGGAGTACACCGTTCGTGACGCCCTCAATGAAGCTATGGCTGAGGAACTAGAGGCCAATGATAAGGTCTTCATTCTCGGTGAGGAGGTCGCTCAGTACAACGGGGCATACAAAGTTACGAAGGGTCTGTTAGATCGTTTCGGAGACAAGAGAGTCATCGACACACCGATTACCGAAAGCGGTTTCTGTGGTTTAGCTGTCGGTGCTGCCCTGAGTGGATTGGCTCCTATAGTGAGTAGCATTACAAACGCCGAACAGACTAAGATGGTCAAGGGTTAATCGGATATCACCATATTCTAGTGCGAGTTCATGACCTTCAACTTCGCCATGCAGGCTATCGACCAGGTCGTCAACAGCGCTGCCAAGACCCTCTACATGTCCGGTGGCATTCAGCCTTGTAACATTACCTTCCGCGGTCCCAATGGTTTCGCTTCCGGCGTCGGTGCCCAGCACTCTCAAGACTACAGCGCTTGGTATGGTTCGATCCCCGGCCTTAAGGTCGTCTCCCCCTGGTCTGCCGAAGACGCCAAGGGTCTATTGAAGGCTGCCATCCGCGATCCCAACCCGGTTGTCGTGCTCGAGAACGAGCTCATGTACGGTGTATCTTTCCCGATGTCCGAGGCTGCGCAGAAGGACGACTTTGTCCTCCCGTTCGGTAAAGCCAAGGTCGAGCGCCAGGGCAAGGATCTCACTATCGTCTCCCTCTCCCGTACCGTCGGCCAGTGCCTAGTCGCGGCTGAGGCTCTACATAAGAAATATGGCATAGATGCTGAGGTTATCAACTTGCGATCGGTCAAGCCTCTGGATGTGGAGAGCATTATCAAATCGGTTAAGAAGACCCACCGACTTATCTCGGTCGAATCCGGATTCCCCTTCGCCGGTATGGGAGCCGAAATCCTCGCTCTGACCATGGAATACGCTTTCGACTACTTGGACGCCCCCGCGCAACGAATCACCGGTGCCGAGGTTCCCACTCCCTACGCCCAAGGCCTCGAGCAGATGGCATTCCCGACCGAGCAACTCATCGAGGACTTTGCCAAGAAGGTGCTACGTGTGTAAATGAAGGAATGAATGAAAGAAGAAAAAAAGG